GTAATATACAATTACAATGTCATTGATAAACCGTTTCATAATTCTTTTACAAACCATCTAGTACCATTATTTCAATTCATGACATCAATTCCATTTCATTCAGACAACCAAACTGAGAATTCAACTCAATAGGTCTCTAACCAATACTACAATCATACAATCACTTCTATTTGCCATTTTATGAATCTTCCGTCTGTGGGAATCGACACTCATATATATATATACATACACGCTGTTTTTCAGGACTTTCACTCTGGACACACACGCCAACTTAATTCAATAGAGAACATCCCTTATCTTCTCTCAAATATGGAGTACATTCCCTTTCTCCTCCCAAACATGGAGTACATTCCCTTTCTCCTCCCAAACATGGAGTACATTCTCTTTCTCCTCCCAAACATGGAGTACATTCACTTTCTCCTCCTAAATATTATACATATACAATGTATTTAAAAACATAATCATATTCAATGACAACGAATGATAAAAACTAGTTTCAATTTACTTAATCCTCATACAATTTCTACAATAATCATAACTATCTTCCACCGATAGCCCAAAACAAATATTTCTAAACAAATATATATATATTCTCCAAGCTAGACAAACTGTTCACATTTCCATAGGTGAGTAATAATACGTATTTAGCTCCACCATTTATAAAAATATCCATCAAATTCCATATTTTCAATACCAATTCTATTTATTTATACAAAATACATATTTGAGACATTTTAGGACAAACTCTCTTTTCTTTTGAAATACAACCCAATATCAAAATTAATCACCTTGCTTGTTTTCACTTTTCAAAAAACACTTTTCAGAAAATTCTACTTTCTTATTTTTCGTATTTTTTTGTTTTCACTGAATTTTTTTAATATTTTAAGCAATTTTTTTTACTTTTTAGACACACCTAATATAAATACACTTAAAAAGTAAAAAAAATGTAAAAAAAATCTTTTAAAAATTCACTAAATACCAAAAATACAAAAAAAATACAAGAATTCAATATATTTTTTGTATTTTTATGTATTTATTAATTTTTTAAAATATTTTTTCACAAATTTTTTACTTTTTAGATACATCTAAGTAAGGTGCATTTAAAAAAGTAAAAAATATGTTTAAAATTTAAAAAATATTCACTAAAAATAAAAAAATATGAAAACCAAAAAAGTCAATTTTCAAAAAACTTAATCCAGAAAACTCAAACCAAATACATTGAATAATTTTATTACACCACAACCTCATAATCACTCACATAACCATTTTCAAACCTCTTTTTGGATTTTAAATCCAAATCCTAGGTTTGTTCAAAATCCTCCAAAAGTACAATAATGTTTATATACAACAAATAACTAAGTTAAAAGTCATATAGGAGTATCGAAAATCCCTACCTCAAAGCTAGAAGACCAAAGGAACAAATGGAGAGACGTTAAGAATGCCCAAACTCAACTCTACTTGGATGAAATGTAGCCATTGAGATGCTCTACCTTTTTAGCAAAGACGCGTGGGTAGAGAAATCACTAAATTTAGGTAAAAATGTAGAGAGAGAAAGAGAGAGAGAGAGAGAGTTTACAGAGAAAAACTCTAGATCTATAGTTTTTAGAAAGTGTAGAGAGAGAATGAAAGTGAAAAGTGATGTAAAAGGTCACTTTCACGAACTGATCTATGCACAGTCTACTCGAGCGCAAGAAGTAACGCTCGAGCGTTAGACACAATAAGTTGCTCTGTTCGAGCGCAGAATGCACACTCTCAGTACTTTTGCAGACCTGCCAAAGTACTAAGAATTTGCAAAACCCGCTCAAGCACAAGAAGTGTCGCTCGAGCGAAGGAGCAAAAGTTTGGAAACTAAGCAACTAACCTGTCCCAGATGCAACCACAACAATCCAATAGCCAAATTCAAGGAAGTATAAGGTAAATAGGACATGAACAACAATACATAGCCATGAAACTCGAGTTCAGAATATCAAATGGGTCGGATTTAAAACCAGAATCGCTATAAATAAGAATTTTGAAGAGGAATAAGAGCCCCTAAGGGGTGGGTTAAGTGGTTAAGGATAAGCCTAAAAATGCTTTCACTTGGGTTTGATCCTCCATCGCCCCTCGGCATGGCACCTTTATACGTTGCTTTAAGTAATATCTTAGCTCAGGGTTAGGGACTCATAGAGCTTGCGTGACACTTTTTTTGTTGTCACCAAAAATAATAATAATAATAAGAATTTTGAAGAGGAATAAGAATCTCATCACTAATAAAAAATTCTCTATATCAATACTATTCAATTGTTTAATTTCATTGGGAATCTTTAATAAAATAAATGACAAAATTTGGAATATTGTAGGCATGATTATTATGTTTTCACTTCAATAGCTAAATGGATAAGCATAAATTACTTTTCTATTTCAATCTATTTAAAATGCTGAAATTATAAAAATTCAAAATTATATTTTCGCCATTCAAATATATATTAATTTTATTTGAGGAGATATCAATTTAGTAGAGGTTTGGGGTTGACTTTTTTAAAGACTTTTTTTTTTTTTGGTTAATTTTTACTGTCAGTGAATTTTTTTAAACACTTGACGTTTTTTGGATTTTACTCTATTCGACGGACTCTAAATATAATTTTTTTTAAAATTAGAAAAAAAGTTTTAAAAAAGTTCAACTGGTCAAAAAAATAGTTTTTTTTTTTTTTAATATTCGTCTAAACAAGATGGACCTAAAAAATAAAAAAATTTGATATAATTTAAAAAAAAATCATTAAAGACACAAAAAATTTAAAGAAAAAGTGATTATTTTTATTTTTATTTTTTTAGCTGTATACGAAACACATTTTCAATGTATGTTTTTTTAAATTTTTTTGGATAAATTACAAATATTTCTTAAAATTTACTTAAAATACAAATTACTTATTATGATTTTGAAAATTACTTCCTGCCCCTTAAAATTTCTAATTTTATTACAAATAGTCCATTTTGTTAATAAATTATCAAGTCAATTAACAGTTTTTAATGATGTTTGAAATTTATTTCAATTAATAATTTCAATATTTTTTTATTGTATAGGAGAGTAGTTAAGAATTTTTTTCAATTAATTCTGTTAAATAAAAAAGTTTGACAATGAGATATTTGTAATTTTCCAAACTATAAAGAAAAATTAATATTTTAAGCAAATCTCAAAAATGTATTTGTATTTTACCCAATTTTTTTTTTTTTGTTAGTAGTAAATTTTATCAATATTAATAATAAAAATTTGGACAAATTACGACGGTAGTCTTTGTATTTTGGTCATTGTGTCATTTTGGTCCTTGTAATTTCAATTGACATGAGTTTGATCATAAGTTTATAACTCTATTTCAATTTGGTCCAATTGATTATAACTTTTAATATTTTTGTATAGAAAATAGGCATATAAGTGGAATGTGTCATTTTTTTAAAAGTAAAAATTTGCTAAACTCAATGAATAATGACATTATCAATTGAATAAAACTGATACAAAATTTAAAATTAAAAGTCAAAGGCACCGTTTGGTAGAGCTGTGAGAAAATGATTATGGCTTATAACTGTGAATATAAGCTGATTTTTGACTTATAAATTAAGTTTCTCCTCCCCCACTCAAAGAATAATTGATTTTTGACTTACAAAAAGTTATAAGCTGTATTATTAAGCTGAACCAAACACATCAAAATAACTTAAATTAAGCTAAAAGCTGAAATAAGCTGAAAATAAACCCTATCAAACAGGGTCAAAATTGAACCAATTAAAAGTGTAGAGGTCAAAATGATGTAAGCTACAAAATGTAAAGATTACCAATATAATTTGTTCTAAAATTTTAATCTTTTTGTCCATTCAGCAATGCTACACACACAGAAGACCAAACATAGAATCAAACATAAAAACTATTTCATCAGACAACTGACTAGATGACCAAAAACACCATGACAACTGCAGTCGACGAATTCTAACCAAAATAACAATTATAATTGACACCATGACAGCCACCAACGATAAGCTCTCGATAGCTATCTGGGCTAATGCACAATTTTTATGGCCTATATTCGATTCTATGTGCATCTACACTTTTTGTTTTGCATTAATCTGTAATTAAATTTTTTAAAAATTACCACTAAATTATAGGTTTCGTTTAGTTGTGTTTTGAAAATATAATTATACACCTACATTTAAATATGATGTTTGAAAGGAGTTTTGGAATATATTTTTCAAAATTCTGCAGAGAATTTTGTCTCAGGCGCGTTTTTTGGAATTTTTTTTTGTAAATTTTACTTAATCGGTCGTCTGGCCGGTTGATTAGAATAGTAATTTTTTTTTATAATTGATATGTTAATTTTTATATAATCGAAAAAAATATTTTTCAAATTTTTTAAAATTTTTTGTGCTTCAAAAATAATTTTAAGTTGTATGTTTAGTTATGAGTTGTAAATTTTTATATCAAATATCAAATGTCACATTAATAATTCTCCACTCAAATCAAAACTTTTTTTAAAATTATTTACCAAACAAATTTTTTACACTCAAATCATAATTCTAAATCTCACAAACTCAAAATACAATTCATATACTGAAATCGTAGCTATTCTACCAAACACAACCATAATGGCGCTGTTTGGGAAGCCTCGAATGAGGCTGCTATAGCCTATTTTCAAAAAATAATCAAAAAGTGTCACTGTTGAAAACTTTTTCAAAAAAAAAAAAAAAAAAAAAAAAAATTATAGGCTGCTGCTGGAGCCTACACTGTCACAGCCGGACATTTGTTACATCATGGCTAAATTATCATTTTGTCCTTTTATATTAATTTTAAAAATAAAAAGTTAAGGACAAATTTGTCATTTTAAATTTAAACATCATTTCAACACACTTTTCAATACAATAACTCAACTAAAAAATCATCTCATCTTCCCAAATACAAAAACTAAAATAACCACTAAAATAACCAAAAAATCAAATAACCTACTAAAATAGCTACTTCCAAACGAGGCCAGTGTTTCAATTTTATTTGGACCTATTAGCGCACCAGTGGTGATGTCGCTGAGTTTGTAACTCTTTGTTCCATTCCGAATACGTATTTGGTCTTCCTCTCGTCGTCCTTGTCTTCTCTATTTCTTCAGTCCCTCCTCGATCGAGATAGAGAGAGAGAGAGATCACTCTCTCCTTCTGAGATTCCAATTCACCCCAACAAGCGAAGATCAATCTCTCCTTTTCTTCTTCACGTAAATTCAATTCTCTCCTTCCCAGATCTCTCTCCTTATGAATATGATTGTTTATGTTTATGTTGATTTGTCTTTTTGTTTTTGTAGGAAGGACTAGGGTTCTGCCTTAAAGATCTGATTGGTCCTTTTGATTCTCCATCTAAGGGAGAAGAAAAATGGGGATTGTGTTTACTCGATTGTTCTCTTCGCTTTTTGGTAACAAAGAAGCTCGGATCCTCGTTCTTGGTCTTGACAATGCTGGAAAAACCACAATTCTCTGTATGATTCTTTGATTCCGCCCTTACCCTTTTCTGATCTTGCATTTCTGTCACTGGGTTCTCCCCAATTTTGATAATTGAGTAACTCGATTTCATTTTTTTGTGCAGATCGGCTTCAGATGGGTGAGGTTGTCTCCACAATTCCAAGTTGGTACTCTTTCCTGGTTTCTTTTTTGTTTGCATAATCTTTCTTTGTTTGCCAAGAAGATCAGGGGATTGGAGACCATCGGATTCATGATTTACAAATTGATAAAATTTTTAATTTAAAAATTATAGTGCTGATTTACTGCATTTGTTTTTTCAGAAGTGGAAAGTTTGATTCTTCACTCTAAAGTGTCATATTTTCTTATTTTAGAACTTGTGGATTAATTTCTGTGTGTATATATTTGATGCAGCAATTGGGTTTAATGTGGAAACAGTTCAATATAACAACATAAAGTTTCAAGTTTGGGATCTGGGTATGCCAACTTATTACTTTTGACCACCTGCGTTATCTTACCTGTTGCCAGATCGTTATTGTAAATATATTTTTGTTTGTCCCAAAATAGTTATTGTGCATTATGTCCTAAGTGCTTTGTATTGGGTTTTAATAATTAATTGCAATTTGTAATAATTAATTTAAGTGGATGAAAATGGGTTGAAATTCATGCGTGTTAGTAAATTGGATGCTTGATGGGTGGGCAAGTGGATGCATTTCATATGCATATGACTCAGGTGTTGGGTTGTTGATATTTTCTTAAGGATTAGCAGATCCTGACTTATCTGAACCTTTTTAATTAAACCACTTTGAAGAATAAATTACTGGCAATGCTCCTACCAGAAATGTTAGTATTGGAGTTGCTATTCATATGCATTAGATATATTTTCATACGCACTTGGCCATTGTGATCAAATCTGGGATTATTTGCTTAAAAGAAGAGACACTATGCAGGTACTGCTAATAAAAAATGTGAATCATACACTTGGGAAATTAGTTACGTAACTTGTTTAAGAATATGTTATGTTTTGGGGGTTGCCATTGTTTGTTGGAGGATAGTTGTTTTGTGGGAATGTTCAAATGGTTCATATGAGATTTTGTTTTATTTGATCATTCATAGATGCCTTATGTGGCGGTCATTTGGTCATAAAGTTTTAAGGAACTATAACCCTTAATGGAAAGCACATGAGTCACTATGTGCTTTCAATTCAATTTTATAATGGCTTTTCATCCGTTATCAGACAATAAAAGATTCAAGTGAAAAATCAATCACTGTTTTGTGAGGTTTGTTTTCTTTGAATTGTACAATTTAAAACTTTGAGGAGGTTTTCTTTTAATTTGCATCCATCAAGTCATGAGCACTAGTATATTTGGTGGTTGATATTTTGTTTGCTATCAAAGTTTTTGGGGTCCTTTATGTAAATGGTAAATTTTGTGTTTTTGCAAACTATGTTTCTGGGTGCACAATGGTTGAATTTTTTTCTAGAATCTAGTAATCCTTGCTTCATTGAAACTTTGTTATCTATCCCTTATTACGACATATTAAACCTGGACAACTTTAACTTATCCAAAAAACAGAAAAAAAGCATGGACAACTTTTGGTGTCCACTCGGTCGCCACTAAAAATGATCAAAATGGCCCAATGGTTGTTCTTCAAACAAAGGGACTTATTGTAAATGTAAAAGAATCGTTTAAGGTTTGCTTTTGTCAATGTTACATGGACTTGATTACGGGTTTTAAATGCCCGTTTAAGTGTCTCGAAACTTGAAGAAGGGTATTGAATATGTATCCAACATATGTAATTGGACATTCACCCATCAAGCATATTTAGTAATTTGAGTTCACCATAGAATTATACAGTTTTAGGAAGCACGGATACGGATACGGATACGATATGATACGGCGATACGACAAAATTTGAAAAACTAGGACACGGGTACGGCGGGGATACTTTCGTAAAAAATATTATTTTAACAATTTTTAATAATGCAGTATGCATAAAAATAAAACTTAAAGCAAAAGACAACTTGATAAAGAAGAAAGATTCCTACAAAACTAAGAGTCTTCAAGGTCAATAGTTTCAACTTGTTCCCCTTCATCAGTAAATATCACAAGACCTTAGCTAAGGCTAAAGCCAAAAAGCCGTTCTTAAATAAAAATTTCAGCAAATATATTTTTTTAAGTCATCAATGATACCCTAGGAAGCACGGATACGAATATGGTCATATGGGGATGTGGATATGGCGATATGTCAAAATTTGAAAAAGTATGATACGGGTACAGCGGGGATACATTCATAAATTTTTTTTTTTTTTATAATTTTAATAATGTAATATGCATGAAAATAAAACTTAAAGTAAATTAATAAATAAAGAGAGGGATTCCTATTAACCTAAAAGTGCTCAAACATTCATAAAATATCCAAAACTAAAAGCAAAAGCAAATGCAAATGTAAATTAAACATCATCCTTACATGCCAACACCAAAAAAAGAATGAGAGCAGAGAGAAGAAACGTGAGAGAGTGAGAAAGCGAGAGAGAAGTGAGAGAGGCAACAAGGATACATCAATTTGACAAATTTTATTACTTTAACTCTCACTATATTCCTCTTATGAAAGAACTAAACAAAATATTATAAGTAATATGTAACTTCGAGTATCCGACACTTCAAAATTAATAAAAAATTAATTAAGAAGTATCCAATACGTATCCGCGAGTATCCGAGGAGTATCGGTATCCGATAAGTATCCGATACGGATACGGCACCCTTTTTGAAGTATCCGTGCTTCATAGATAAAACTCCTATATTTTGCAGGAAATGCACTAAGATACCTTGTAAACACCATTTTACCTTACAAAATAAAAAAGTGTATATTTAACATACACATATATAATAACAGATATGAATAGTTTATCTTGACACCATGTCCTCGGACTGTCTCACTCGGGTACTTCATACATTTAGAAGAGTCCATGTAACATAAGCTTTTGTGATACAAGGTTTTGGTTTTGGTAGAAAATTGAAATGTGCAATAATTTTTTTGTAAAGTAGCCCTTTTTTGTTTATTCACATGTTATACCTTTGGGTAGAGTTGGGGAGTTGGCCCTTTGAAAAGTCCTGACCTCAAATTTTGGCTTGTCTTATTTTTGTATATATTATATATTTTTTGGGTGGGGGTGTTCTAAGTTATTAATATAGATTACATACCAAAATGAGTTTTATTTATATACTATAGATTTAGAAAGTTGGGCGTTGCCTCCGTCCACATGTAATCACAAGAAAGTAGGCTACTAGATTCGAAGTTTAATGGTGAGTGAGGAGGCTTTATGCAACTTAGATGGACATTCAATACTATTAAACAAAAGAAAAAGGAATATGTCCATAGACAAGGAGGCGCTTAGTTAGACCTCCCTGTATGATGGTAAAGACAACGTGAATTGTAGCTAGCTAGTACCCCTCAAACAAGAAATAAAATTTTCATTTGTTTCTATCAAAACAGCCATAACGTTCCCTTTACCGGAGAGACCAAAATAACACTAGTGGAATAAAGAAATTCTGTTGTTTCCATCAAAACAGACATTATACCAGAACGTCCAAGACAATAAGCTGTGTTGACATGAATTTTTTCAGAAGTGTTTTTCATCTTTTTGGAGAAAAAAATATTAATGGTTGTATTTTAATATAATAATAATAATTATTAGTAATGTAGTAACACTATCATTAATTACTACTGTCTAAGTTTGTTTTTAGATCCTATTTTGTTGGGATGTTAAACATTTTTAGAATCATTTGCACTTTTATTTAATAAAATTGATTTACACTTTATTGTTTTATGTGAATGACTATATAAATCTCAATAGATTTAATTAATCCATTAATAGGCTTTTATAAATTTAGATAACTTTCAATTTATATGTCCAAACATTTCTACGTTTTTTTAAATTCTTTTGTCGCTTTTGAAATGTTTCTGAAACATTTGCAGAACACTTTTGAAATGTTTTGGCTTTTGTGCTAATTGAAACAACACATTGAAATCAAAATTTGATCATTGCCCTTGAAGTTCTTTATGCCCCTCGAATCATGCTGCCAGGTGAAATCAGATTTTGTTAAAATAAGTTCTTAGGAGAAGCACCAATGCGATTGAGCAAACGAATTTTGCCACTTATGGTTTAAAAAATTTATGTCATCAAATTTATACATTTAAATCTTTTAGAAAGGTCTGTCTATTTCTCTCTTCCTAGGAGTTGTTTGACTGCTTTGTAGTGATAGCATATGCAGAGCAAATAGAATCAGTTTAGTTGAATTTTTTTCAATGGTGGGAGATTTGAGCACAGATTGTGGAAGTTTGGGTGCTCTGTAGTGATACTATTTACTGGAACAAGAAGGACTAGGTTTGGTCAAGAGTTTTGAAGGGTGGGAGATGTGAGGATCTGATCCGTCTATAATATTTTAATGTAGAAGTCAGGCTTTGTATTCCATTTGGGATAAAAAGTTGCTCTCCTAGCCGGATTTTCTTTTATTGCTTGGATGATGGCTTTGGATTGACAGCTTTTTGTATGTGCCAAGGAGTGGAGGAAACAGATTATTTGCCTTTTCATTTTAGGGATGCTGGGAGCGTTGTGGTCATTATTGCTTTGGGTTTTTGGCATTTAATAGGTTTTCTATTGGCTGGTATTGGTTTTGTTGGCCTTGGGGAGGCTGTAGAGTTGGAAGGAGTCATTCTATGGTTTACAAATGGCTCCATCTATGCCTTATGCCTAGCATTGGAAGGAGAAGAAATAGCAAACTTTTGATGGGGTGAAGATGTCAATTCACATAAAGAAAATGAGTGTCTCTTTTATAGTTGGGTTTTAGAAAGAGGAACTCTTTGTTGAATCCTTTACTGGATTTTGCAGATAGCTTGGCTGATGAAGGTTGATTTTGTTGTTTGCTTCAGGTTTTACTCTTGCATAGTCTGTTTGTACTTATATCCATTTCGGTGCTCGCTTTGTGAGACTTTTTAAAAACAGCATCCAATTAGTACACATTAATGTGTGTTTGGAAGGGGAAAGATTAAGTACACATCTAACCTTTGGCATAATGCATAAAGTGGTGGTCCCGAGACTTGAACCCATAACCTCAAGGTTATTAGGCCAAGTTTTAACCATTCTTCTTCTTTGAGTGGAGTTTCATCCATCCTCGTGATTTAAGTGAGATTGTGAGGGACTTTTCTTGGGCTTTAAAAATGCGCAAGTTCTTTTCTTTTTCATTCATTTTTAATCTGTTATTTGAATATTATGTCTTCCTTCATTCATTCTTGAAGTTAGGAGTGTAGGATACTGTAAATTGTTGACCTTTTTTCTGGTTGGTTTAGAATAACTATTACTGGTCCTTTTTGGTACCTTCTTCTAACAGTAGCATTTTTTATGACACAGGTGGGCAGACAAGTATCAGGTATCTTGTCTTTCACTTGGCACTTCTTTCCTTTCTTTTATCATATACATATACATATAGATGTATATATATATATACGGTGGTTCTACATGCATCAATTGGTTTACTAATTAGTACCAACATAGTTATGACATTGTCATTTTAAAACTATGACCCCACTCATTACAAAATCCAAAACCTCTAAAATTATGTCACATCATTATTTAGTATACTAATTGGTATACCAATTGGTGCGTATAGCATTATTCGTATATATATATATATATATATATATATGAACTCCATTTTCCTGGATATACATATAGATGTATATATATATATATATATACGGTGGTTCTACATGCACCAATTGGTTTACTAATTAGTACCAACATAGTTATGACATTGTCATTTTAAAACTATAACCCCTACTCATTACAAAAATCCAAAACCTCTAAAATTATGTCACATCATTATTTAGTATACTAATTGGTATACCAATTGGTGCGTATAGCATTATTCATATATGTATATATGTGAACTCCATTTTCTTGGTTAGACATATTTCTCCAACATGTACAGCTTTATCCTGTGCTGTATGCATATTCTGTAGAGTGATTGTGCAATGGTAGGATTATGAAATAACTTATGAATTAGTTTCTTAGACATTTTTTGTTGCATGGATTCATGATTAGTTACCTTGTTAATGAAATATTCATTTTGTTTCTAAATCTAAATTTACTCAGTATCCCATTGTTGTCATTGTTGCCTTTTTGTTAGTTACATTATATATAAACCATTTTACTTAGTCCTTGACAAGTGATCCTTCTTTTACCTTAATTGTGCCACTTTCTATTCTGTTTGAGAATTCACGACACTGTTAACATTTTACTTGAGACATGAAGTAATCAACTACTTGATTGAAGGATCACCTTTTGTAGGGCCTAGTTCTCTGTCAAGACTAAATTGAAAAGAATCACTTTGCTGGTTTACTGCATTAGTATTAAATTTGTTGAGAATTCTTAAATATTAAAATGTGTAGATAATGAAGTGGTGCAATGCTGTGAAACTTACTAGCGATTGGTTGTTTGGTTCCAAATGCCATTTTTCACTATTTAAATTTGACCAGCTTTCTCCTTTCCGAAATTGTTAGGAAGTACAAATAAGGCTTTATTACCTTGAGAGTTAATTTAGAATATCTTGTGAAACGTCCCTAAGCAGGATCAAGAATTAAATTATCAGTACATCACCAACTTGAGCAATATTTAACTGCAGTGAGTGATTCACTCTGGAAGAACGCTGTGCATCATTATTGCTGAGATGTTTATCCACGGTCTGTATCATCTTTAGACTTATTAGTCAATTCTCCTGGATCGGACCCGTTGTAACTTGTTTGTCAGCCTCTCTATTTTGTATTTTCTAATGTTATGTTTGGGTATTAGCTTTCCAATTTGTACATGCACGAGCTTCACCCACTTCATGGAGAAAATGGATGAAATGGGTAGGGGTTTGGGGCTGGGAATTTCACTTTTAGGAGCTGTGAATAGTAAAGAGAAATATGCTTTGGGACAAAGGATCAGCCGCTATGAAGTGATTCTTTTTGGACTCCAGAAGAAGTCGGAGCTAGTGGAAGTAGTGTGGGCCTCATAGGATTATGTGGGATAATTTTGTAAGCCCAATGAAAAATCAACAACAGAGTTAACAGGCCTTATGATGCAACAAGTGAATACATGTAGGGTCCAGCTCACTACGTGGCATTTTCATTTTACTGCTATGTCACCCTCTGGAGGCTTCCCCACAAGACTTTCACCCCTTGTGTTATATCCATTTGGTGGACACATGGACCAATCAGCAGGCTCAGTGCTATCATCACTTATGCTTGGCTTTGCCAAAACCATCCATACTCGGAGGTCTCAATCTTGAGGGACCAACACATTCCAACTGCGATACTTAGGATGAGAGCCGGGTCCAGGTACATTTGCTTGGGATCATAGTTGTCAAATGGTGATTTGTATCGTGAATCGAAATGTCCTCATACCGAATTGCGAATCGAATCTAATCGTGAATCGTAAAGATTTGGTCACTTTTTTTAAATTACTTAAAAACATATATCTACACATTTAGATGCCAAATATATCTTATGAATATAAAATATTTAGATTTAAATCAATGAAAATGTTATTTTGAATGATAATCGCGTAGTTTAATAGGTAAGAAGTTAACAAAGTTCTTATGTAAGATCGCCATCTTATCTTTTTCTTTTTTAGATATTTCTTATCAACCATTCTTAGTAAAGATAATAACCAAATAGATAAACTATCAATTTTCAAAGTAACAATAATTAATAACGATATTGATATTTGGACAATAAACATACATATTTTTCTAAGTAACAGTGAGCAAATAATAAGAAGGAATTATTTAGAATATTTTATTTTAAAGCCTAAAATATTTGAAAAGGTATAACTGACCTCACACATGTAATATTCAATTTAATAAAATAGCAATATATAATTCATAGTGTAACTTTAATCTTAAACATCTTTAGAATATATATTATGATTTTTTAAAGGGAAAAAAATGAGAAGAAAGGTTAAAAATATGTTGGGTCTGACTGAATCTGATTGGATCCTATTAAAAATTTCATGATCACTAAAATAACAAATCATGTATATATGTTGGTTATTTTGGTATTAAACATTATTAGAAGTTGTATTATGTCTTTTTCGCTAAAAAGATAGAGAAAAAAAAGAGTCGAAAATATATCGAATACAATAATTTTAGAAATTTCATGAATTGTAAAAAGTGAATCGAATCGTTAATCGATTGTGAATCTTGCGATTCACTAGAGATTCACTTTCAAAATAGATTCACCCATAGAGTTGTATTGATTTTGTAAAAATCGTGAATCGAATCGTGAATTGTAAGATTTTGATAACAGAGACACTAGGGAACTTGTGGATTAGAGTCTAGAGTTCAAGGGTTAGCTTGAAGACATCACTACCGCCCTTCGAGGAGCGGTGCACTTGGACCATTCTTAGAGAGGGAGGCCTTTGCCTATGCAAAACCTTGATGTCTGAATTATACTTACTTCAGAGCCCTCTAACACACCTAGAAATGGATGGATTATACCCAAAGTACCGTAGATATGCGACACGGCACGAACACGCTGCATGTTGATTTTCAAAAAATGTAAGCCGCGACATGCTTGGGACATGTTGAAATTTTATGTTTTTACAAATTTGTTGTCTATCATATATATGAATAATTTATTCAAAGATAACAAATAATATGTAAAATAACTCTAATTACATTAAAAGCCATATATTTTATAACTTAAACGTCAAAATATAATTCACATAACGTTTACATTCTAATGAATGCAAAACAATTATACAATATTATAATACACATAAATTGATAACGAAGTCACTACCTTGGTGGAATTGTAGTATGCATGAACCTCTGAACTTAGCATATACATGATAGTATGAAATATTAATTACGCATGATATTGCATGAAAATGCTTTCTTGATTTATATCCGGTGTTACCCTTTCTCTTGACCACAACCTCAGAGGGTCAGGGGTTGTTGGAGTGGTTGGATGGAGGATGATAATTGCTGGAGGTGGTGGCTGATGGGAGGAGGTGGTTGGAGGGGCGTGGAGAGAGGAGAGTGAATGAAAACTCATTTTCTGGACAAGTTAATCACAATTTGTGTTTGTTTCCTAAATTATTGTAAATTATGAAAATTGTTTACTTCTTTTTTTGTTTTTTGTTTTTGTATTGTGGAAATGAAATAATTGTTGGAAACCTGTAATCGTAAAATATTACCAATTATACAAACTTGGATCGGTGTCTTTGTTTAAAAAAAGTTGTTACATGGGATTGTGGACCCATGGATCCCTCAAAAAATGGAAACAAAACACATAACCTGCTTACTCAATTGATATGCTGGAGTCATGCCTACATTTACCATTCTGTATTGATTTATTTATGGCTTTGCTAGATGGTGATTGATTCTTCACGTAATAGACAAATGTAGCAAGGAACTTTCTTGTGAAATTTGCCCTCGTGCTCTCATTTGCTAGTTTTTCCTCTATATTAAAAAATTTAGAGGGCCTTTTTTTTGTGTGTGTTTTCTTGAAAGCAATAATAAAATTGCATTAAGAGCCAACATTAAGGGAATGCCACTTGTATACAAACAAGAAAATAAAATGAAAATCTGACCCTATATAGCTTTAGAAGAATCCAAAAGCTCTACAAAATGATTTGTGATAACTTGCACCAAATTGTCTCTTTCAACACGCGCCACAAACTTATCAAGCAAGTCGAACGTCTTCGGCCCATCTATAGAGTAGCTAGAAGCAGCAATTTACTTAACAAACATGGTTCTTCTTGGACAATTCACTAAAAAGTTAATCAAGGTCGTCCCTCTCCTATCAGTCCACCCATTAGCCATTAGGGAACACACCCATATTTTTTTGGAGTCCTCTTTGTGACTCTTCATCAAATCTTTAGTATGTTTCACCTCTTTTTTGAGTTGGGAAACCTGTACTTCATAGTATGTGGGTGGTTTCATACTAGGATCATATTGCCCAATGGCTTTAATCATTGGTCCAGAATTATCATAATTTACTACATTAAAAGGGTTACCGGCTCATACATTCAGCTTGCGTATGTTTTCATTGCTTGATTTTTCATTTGCTTCTTGTAACAGTCATTCTTCTCAAGTTTTGTTTGTTTTCTTTTGATTAGGCTTTTCAGTTTTTTTGGTTAGGATGAAATATGTGGGCAAGGATTTATACCGTTGATGGACATTGACCTCAACAACATCATCATCTTCATTATCTTCCAAATCACTGTCCATTTCATCAAAATCTGGCAACATGTTCATTTCGTCTTTCTCCATCTCTTTTGTTGTTTGTTTTTATTTTGACATGAACTGTTTAATTTTACATGAGGTTGTTGCTTTACCTGATAAACACCGTCATTTGATATTTTGCCACAAAGTTGCATTCAAACAAACTTGTACCCATAAGTTTCACATAAGACATAAAGGAGCTTAGCCTCTCGCCTACTGGGAAGAAGAGCAACTACCCCAAAAGGAAAGGTCCAAAGCACCCTAACCAAGAAAGCATCGATGTTCACAGATCTCTTGTCACTATGCAGTGAATAAGATACTGATTTGCTGTCAAGCCATCTTGTTTGTATATGCAATACCATTTCACGATCACTTGCCTTTCCTCGGTAGATTTTCTAGGGAGTAGATTTTACCATGCACTGGACACGAGACAAAAAATGCTTGTTTGAGAGGATCCCTCATACCCCAAATGGTTCAAGGGTAGGATGACGAATACCTCGTGAAACAATTTCATCTGGAAGCACCTGAAACTTGTTAACATCCTTCACAAAGAGTCTTCTTCAGTTCGGATGCTATTTATCTCTTACAACCTCTGAAGGATTCCTATCAACTCATCATTCTCCCAGTGCAGTCCTGTAATCCTATGCTCAACACAATAATCCAAGAAGACTAATTGTCTCTCTCTACAGAAGTACTCGAGAAATATGGCTTCGTTGTTCACCACCACTCAAAAGACCAAAGGAAAAGCACCAACCAGTCTCACATTCCTATTCCAATGATGACCCCAAAACTTGACTTTCCTTTCATTCCCAACTCTCAAACTAGTGTTTTGCTCAAACTGATCCCATACTTGTTAAGCCTCGCACCATATGACATGTTACCCTTCACCATCCGTGTTACTAGTTAACCTCAAAGCTACTTTCCCAATAAGGCTTAATTGAAAATCTCTTATCTTATAATGCCCAAACCTCATTTCCTTTTGGTATTATTGACTCTAAATATATATATATATATATATATCTATGGCCTATTGAACTTACACATTTTGTATGACTGGTTTTTAAATGGGTGATTTTGCATAAATGGCTCTCTCTCTCTCTCACTCTCCCCTTTTTTAGTATCATCATAATGGTTCTTCTGATTACTGCAGGCCATATTGGAGATGCTATTTTCCCAATACTCAAGCTATAATATATGTTGTTGATTCAAGTGACACTGATAGGCTAGTAATTGCCAAAGATGAGTTTCATGCTATCTTGGAGGTATTTTTGTTTATGTTTAATATGACAATTTGTTCATTAAAGAATATTGTTTAAAAATTTTGAAACTGCTGTTAGCATTTTGTGCTCGTACTATGCATATTAAAATTCCTTTCATGGTAGCTCACTGACACTATATGTAATTGACTCAGTGAAGCATACGTGTCACAATTACTTTTAAGCTAAACCAATGAATTACAAATTTAACTTTTCCAACTGGATTATCCAATCTAATTATTCACTTTCAATTAATCTATTATATCATAACCATCCACACATTATAACACTAATAAAATAAAGTAGAATAAGCAACACATTATATACATGGAAAACACTTGGAGGATGGATACTGCTGCTTCTCTGTTATTTGCTCTTGCAATTTATTTTTCTCTGCCCAAGGAGGAAATTCTAGTCCCTTTGTTGGCCACCTTTTTCTCCTTTGGTGTTGGCATTATTAATACCTTTCCGTATTTCCATAGCTGAATTATTTTGAAGTTTGAATTACACCTTAGCATACAAGCTCACATTCTTCTGTTTTTGGTCAGGAAGAAGAGTTAAAAGGTGCTGTTGTTCTTATTTTCGCAAACAAGCAGGTGCTTCTTATTATCCTTTTCCATTTTAATTCTTCATTTTTAATTTTTTTTTTCATGAATAAAAATTAAGAAAATTTGATACATAATATTGTACCTTTCACACAAATGTGAAAGTTGGCCATGCTGCTGCTGGCTTTTGTTCATCATCGATATCTTGTTTCAGTTAAAAGCAACTTTACACCAGAAACAATTTTTTCTGAAAGATTTGTGGATTTCTTCTTTTTTTTTTTTTTTCCCTTCATATTTATGACCGAGGCCTTAGCGTTGCATAAGATAAAAAACCGCCAGTGGGCAATTTTTAAAACTTCTGCAATTAAAGGAGAAGGCCTATTTGAAGGTTTGGACTGGTAAGTTTGACTATTCGGTGATATAGATGTCATTGTTGGTTCATTTGATTTTAGGCATTATTATAGCACTGCCGTTGCTATTCAACAACAGCCCTACAAGTTCATTTACAATTAGGTCACGTTTGTTTGGCGGATTAGGTTGGATGAGATTGTTAATGAGAGGATTGTTAGTGAAGAAATTGTTAATGTAGGAATTGTTAGTGAAAAGATTAAGTAAAAGTGTGTTTATTTGTATGTAATACTATGGTATGTGATTAATAAATAAAATTACATACATGCCCCCAAACTAACAAATGTTAAAATAATTACAATATATATATATAATAAAAAAATGAAAATGGGGAGACAACCCACGTGGGTGTGTCTTGCGCCTTACATAAATGCCCCAAACTATCCTTTTTTTTAATTTTTTTTTTTTTGCCATTTCTTGCTGGAAATGGTTTGGCATAGTGTTGAAGAGGAAGGGCAAAACAATAATAGCACCAACAATCCCTGGACTAAAATCTGATTCCCACACCCTCTACAGCTTAGCTAATCGACTGTGTAGTGGGATTGACAGTCAGACTGGACAAATAATCCGGCCACAAACTCCTCAACCAAACATGCTCTGAGAGATCCCACCTCACTATCACTCCAATCCCACCATTCATGCGGGATAACAAACGTGCCCTTACTGTTAAGCTGTGTACATGAATAAAAAATATAAAAAAAAGAAATCTCATCATCTCTCTTCCGTTTGGTTGCTGCTCTTAAGAAACCCTTGTGGATTAATTTCTTATTTTTATAGGTTGAGTAATACACTCAAGTCTGGAGGTGGCTAACTTTGGGAGGAAGGGACAGAAGCTAGATGCATGCATTATCAAAGCAAGAACTAACATGGTATCATTATTTCCTTTGTGTGATCTGTGATAGAGATTTTTTTTTGTAATGAGTGTTGTTACATTTTTTATTTTCTCACTAATTTTTTATTTTATTTTTTTGGGATAAAACTACTAATATACATGTTAAGTTTTCATTGGACATATAATATTTGGCCCATTTTACTGTGTTGCGAATCTCTTTTGGTACTTACACGAGTCCTCTGTTTTTGCAAAACATATTTTACATCAAATTCTTTCTTGTTTATAGGTAAACTTAGTAGGTTTTACAATGGTGATATGTGACGGGTTATCTTGCGCTCTGAGCATAAGCTGCTACATTTTCATATTTTAATGAAACCTTATCTTAAACAGATCACTTGATTAACCAAACACGAGGTGATTTTAAGCAGCTTGGTTTGTGATCTTTCTTGTTATAGATGTATGTTTTACATGGTGATATGTGACGGGTTACGTGCTGAGCATAAGCCGCTATTTCCTATTTTAATGATGCTTATCTTAAACTGAGCGTTTGATTAGCCAGCCAAACAAGAGGTGATTTTAAGTAGGCTTGGTTTGAGATATGAATGGGAGTTTTGTTTTGTGGTCTTACATTTGGATAAGTACTAATTCTAAAATAGGTGAAAATAATACACACGACTTATGGGTTATTTTAAGTTTTGATTTTGTTAATATTCGAGAAGTTTTTGATTGGAGCTAAATCAGTGTAATTTTTTAAACAGGTTGTCTAATTCAAAATGTGTACAATCCGTTTAGTTTTCAATTTGTGTTTTGTATACTTTGTGGTCGTTTGAGAAGTGGCTATTTTATATATTTTTTGACTATTGATTATTTTAATTTTTATATTTAGAAAGATGATAATTTTTTTTGTTATTGTATTAAAAAATGTGTTTGAAAGGATTGCGTAATGCAAAAGGAGCATAGTGTACCTATAAAAAAAAATTGCTGTCAATGCATGCTGTACACTGCCACCGTCCAGTTTTGTTTCTAATAAATGAAAAAGAAAGTTCATGAAAATCTGATGTTGATACGAGGTGTATGTGTAACCCAAGGGTAAAATAGTCTGTTTACCCAGCCTCACTGCGGCCTCAGCTACAGTGAGGTGTATGTGTAACCCAAGGGTAAAATAGTCTTTTTACCCAGCCTCACTGCGGCCTCAGCTACAGTAAGACCACTCGCTTTTTTCGGCAAACGGGTTAAAACAGCCTGTCCCACGGCCTCCCAAACACCACCTTTGCTCTATAGTTTTTAATTTTGAGTTTCGTTTTTAAACGTGGATGAAATAACCTTCCACTATTGAGGAACGAAATTGATAAAATTAAAATATATAGGGATAAAATAACATTATATTATTTTAGAGATCATAAATGTATTTTATCATTATCCTATTTGGTTCAAGTGATTTTAGATTTCAATAATTCTATTGTTTGGTATGGATTAGAATAAAAGAAAATGATTCTTGATTACTTAATTTATACTCGCTTTCATAAACTAAGCAAGAATTTAACTTTCAAACTCAATAGTAATCTCACATTCAGCGAAAATTAGCTTTATTTATGAATCAAGAGGGGATACAAATGATACATCAGTAAAACAAAATAATATCTTTTGGGTAAATTATATCATTAATCCCTATAGTTCAATTAAAGTATCATTTTAATTCATATAATTTCAATTTAAACAATTTGTACCCTATACTTAGCCTCTGTTTGGCAAGTTGGTTTTTGGGCTTTTTTGGCTATTTTAGCCACAAAAGACAAAATAGGCTATTTTAGCCATAACAAACAAAACATCATATCCAACCCATAATCATTACATTCTTCTCTCACAAAAAAACTCAAAAAAGCCAAAAAGTCAAAAAGCCCTTCCCAAACCGAGCTTTTAAGCCCAGGCTAAAATAGCCAAAAAAGCCAAAAAGCCAAAAAACCAACCCACTTTCCAAACGGAGGCTTAGGTTTTTTATAATGTGGTATCTGTTACTTATCATTAGACTTTTGAATGAAAAAAGATCATGTACAAAACTAGAGCAAAAGAAACTATAAGAACTATTTGTGTAACTAGAAAATAATTTTACTTTAATGCCTCCAATTTTGTACCCAATCTTGTTTCGTTCAAAATTTTAACAGCACATAATTGAAGAATCACATTACAACAAAACTAAAAATGTAATATTAAAATTGTTCAAATTAAAATTAAAAAGATTAAAATAAAACTTTACTCAAATGGGAGAGAACAATGTAATTTAACCATATCTTTTGGATATGGGACAAGAATCATTTACGTTGTATTTGACTGAGAAATTTAGAGAGGAATATAAAAAGAGAAAGAGAAAAAGTGATTAAAATTAAATAAAATATAAATACATTTTATTTATTTTTTTCTTTTTCATTTTTAAATTATTATTCAAATCTCCTAACTAAATACAACGGTAGTCTTACACCAATGCATTTCGTGTTGAGCCAAGTTGTTTTTCACGCATAATATTGAGGACCACACTTAAAGTTGTACTATTCTTCTCTTGTCCAGTCCTTTGTTATTGTTCCTCAACACCTTACAAGTTACATCAATTTAAGAAAACTACGACTTTCAATAGAGAATGACTGTTAAGAATTCGAGAATCACATTGTCTAGTCCTTTTTGATTTTCCCATAGAGAATGACTGTTTAGAATTAAAGAATCACATTGTCTAGTCCCTTTTGATTGATTTTTTTAAAATTAAGTTTTTTTTTTTTTTTTTTGTGTTTTGATTTTTAGTGACTTTTTAAATATTGTAAGCAAATTTTTTAAAAACTTTTTAGATGCACCTAATCTATATGTATCTAAAACGTAATATTTGTAAAAAAAAATATAATAAAAAAATTAATAAATACATAAGAATATGAAAAAATACTGATATATATATATATATATTGTGTTTAGTGAATTTTTTTTCTACAATTATTATACTTTTTAGATGTATCTAGTGTAAAAAGTAAAAAAATAGTGTAAAATATTAAAAAATTACTAAAAAATGCGAAAAATAAAAAACACAATTTTTAGAAAAGTAGAAAACCAAACAAGGGACAACTGAAAAAAAAACCAAAAAAAAAACTCTTGGACATTATTAAGAGGTTAATAATTTCTCTTCCACTTGTGTGTGAATCTTCTCTTGTAATTTGAAAATTGTATTTCAACTACAATGAAAAAAAGAAAGAAAGAAAAAAAAGGAAAAACAAATTTTGTAAACGTATTGAGTTTGAGTTGAGATTTCCATTTAGGTAGAGTATGAGATGAAGAAAGCAAGTATTATTTGTGTGTGTTTGTATTTGAACTAGTTGTATTGATCAATGTAAGAAAATAGTTTTTGTAAAATTTAATTTTGTTGGGTCAATTTGGAACTAAAAATAAGGTGGATCCCATACGTTTGTTGTGGTTGTAGTGAGTCTACGGTGAAATGTTTTTACCTGTGCGTATGATATTGAATTTTAGTTTTAAAAAATGTTAGAAATCCTAAAAATTTTATCAAAATTTCTATCAAATGTTTACATAGGTGTGCGATGTGGGTCCCACACTCATCTCAGACATTTGATAGCAATTTTGATAGAACTTGTGAGATCTATAGTATTACTCTTTTAGTTTGTTGAACCATTAAGGAGTACTCCAAAAGTTACCATTTGAAAATTGGTAGGGAAATTTATTAGAAAGAGTCTTTATATTTCAATTAGTTCATAAAATATATATATATTTTTTTATTTTAATAAGTCAGATTATTTTGGACATTTAATTCACTAATTCCAATTTTCATATTTAAAGTATTTTATGGACAATTTTATTATTATAAAATATTATTTTAACTCTTAGTATCTTGGTGATGTGAATATTCACATTAAATAAATTTGACAGTATGAATATTTGCATCATGGAACATTAACACTATCAATATGAACAATCATTAATGCGCGTTTTATCCTATTATTATTAGAGGTATTTTGCTAACTATGCCATCTATAGGACTTATTGGAATATAAAAATATAATTTGAAAAATTCTACTTACACAATATATTTACCTCTTTATACCCCCCATTTGAGATATTTTTTTCTCCAATTTTACTCATGTGTGAAATTACCTTTAAGGACAAAAGATAAAAAATAAACAAATTTGATTATCTCTTTACACCCATTACACTTCAATCCCTACTTCTATCATTCCACTCTCATTTCTTCTTCTCTACTATACATCTATTTTCAAAAAGTGAGAATCGTAATGCTTTTATCATAAAAGAGAGCAATGGAGGAATAAATGGTACTGATGGACTAGCAAAAAAGTAAAATTGTGAGTTTTTTTTCTTTATTTTTTTATGTTTTTGTTTCATTTGTTAATAGGGTTATTCAACTATTATTCGATGTATCAGAACGGAATAAAATCAAATATCGAGGAATCACACTGCCAAACAAAAAAAATACATATCTATTAACTCATTACTGAACAAATAGAATATGGGTTGAATATGAGTTGAATGGAATAAAACTCTTAAAAAATGAGATTAGATCCTTAATTCACTTGTTGACTACAATTTACATGTCGAGGTAAAAAGACTACAATTTACATTACAATCTGAGAGGGAGTTTTGTATGTGCATTAGGGCTGAGCTAGGCCTAGGCGTAGTAATGGCCCGTTTTGTGGGCCGAGGTAAAAAGGGCTTTGTGAAGTGTAGCAAAAAAGTAAAATTGTGAGTTTTTTTTCTTTATTTTTTTATGTTTTTGTTTCATTTGTTAATAGGGTTATTCAACTATTATTCGATGTATCAGAACGGAATAAAATCAAATATCGAGGAATCACACTGCCAAACAAAAAAATACATATTATTAACTCATTACTGAACAAATAGAATATGGGTTGAATATGAGTTGAATGGAATAAAACTCTTAAAAAATGGGATTTATCAAAAAAAACATCCCTAGTTTTAAATGAGGACTTTGTTAGCTTTTGTTTAGTTCAAGTTTGGATTTAGGATTGAGGCCTAAGAGCATCTACAATAGGATAATTAAAAAAGTGTGTTAGAGTGGGTGCTAGAGTGTATACAAGACATAAGTGAGTTCCATTTAGTGTGTAAAATAGTTGACTAAACTAATGTGTGTGCACACCACAATGACAAGGTAACTACCTAGTTCAACCATTAAAAAATTTATTGTCATCACCAGTGCTCCA